AGATATACGGACTGTGCAAAACAAGTGGGAAACAACTTTATTGTGCTGTTTTCTGATTGTGTGGGAAAGCTACAAGTAGGCACACAGCAAAATGCTATGGCAGTTTTCTTCTCTAGGTATCCTACCACTTTGATTTCCATAGAGAGATCTGCTGGAACTACAATTGCTCCAACCACTTCTCAGTTCACTCCATTTAACAATGGTAGAATCATAAAATTATAGAACTATAGAGTTGGAAGGGACCACAAGGGTCATCAAGTCCAATTCCCTGAGATGCAGGAATCTGCCCAAAATTACCATGTTGGGTTGTTCTGAAATCGATTTAGATCACTGGAAGATCCATCTGTAGTTCCAAACATTGGTCAACTAGGAAATGGAGTTAAAGGGTCACTCGGAATGGTTCCAGGGTTCAGAGCAATTATTATGGTTAATAGCTGGTGTCCTGATCGCTAGCGTCCTTTTCAAATGCAGTAGCCTCTTGACTCCATTACTAACTGCAAGCAACTCTTAGAGAAACAGAAGAATGTGCATGTCAGGAACATAACTTGGGGCAAGTAGGAATTGGTAAATCTTTTAAAAAAAATACATAGAGATTCTACAGGTGTGAAGTAAATGTCTGTAGATTTGCATGTGTTTTGTCAAAGTGTGCAGTGAGCTCTGTTGTCTAAGAGAAGGAGATGGTAAGGACTTGGCAATGTGACTATGTTTCAAAAAAGAGCATCTGAGCTGCATCAGAACAAGTCTTTTTCAAGCATGGGCTTACCCACACTTCCTCTTACCCTGCTACTTTGCCCCACTGCGTTCCACCAGGGAAAACCACTGTTTAGTGCTCAATCGGAGCAAACAGCAATTCAGGTTTTCTCCTGATTGACACTAGCTCCAATTCAGCACTGAAGAGCGGGTTTTCCCTGGGAAAAGAGGCAAACCTAAGCACAGCACAGGTAGAAGTATGGACAAGCTCCACCTGAAGGGCGTGTGAAGCAATCGTTGGTTAGGACAGGTGATGGAAAGGGCTCCTTATGCCAAATGAGATCAAATGTCTCCTCTGTGCCAGAGACAAGGGAGCCAATGATGTCAGAACAGAGGGAACCACATTATCTATCTAGGACATTTAATCAACAGTAAACAAGTTCAACAGGCCTAAAGAAAGGATGAAGCAATTATTGAAAAGGGAAGAAGTCCTTATAAGGCTAATTGGATAGTAATCTGTATCGCACAGGTGGCTAATAATGGCCTTCTAGAAGTTGTCAAACTCCCATCATCCACAGGCAGCATGGCCAATGTTCTAGGGGTTGATGGGAACTGTAGTTCAGCAACATCTGGAGGCCCACAGGTTAGGCCCCTCTGTTGTGCATACATGAGCAAAGCCACCCCTAACCCAATCAGTGGTTCTCAGGTGGAATGTAGCACAGTATTGCCCTGCCATGAATGGAAGAAGAAATATATTTGTCAACTATGAGAGCATTACAGAAGCATCCTTCCTTACATTATATAAGAACATCTAACACAAGGCCACTTACAAGAAGATGGATACAAAATGGCACATAAAATATATCAATATAAAACCAAATAGAAACAAGTCAGTGGTCAATTGAAAAAAGATACACACAGTGGTAAATAAAAAGACAAATCAGTGAAAGAGGCCAAATCAGTCATCAGAGGGCCTGCCCACTCCACAACTGAGCATTAATTAGCTGTTAATCCATTCCCCCCCCCCCCAATATTTAAATTTGTATATGAAGAGCAACTTTGGTCTTTCCCATTCATACCAGTAGGCATTCCCTTTTGCGCTTGTTCTTGCCTGCCGGTTCTAGTAAACTGATTTAGTAATAACAGGCATGTACACCTTGTTTTTTTTAAAAGTCACAGGAAGTGAAAGTGAAAGTGCCCAGAAAGTACACAAAAGCACACAGTCTGGCAATCGTCAATTCAATACACTTATAAAGCTACTCTCCTCCATCCAAGAGCATGTCGGAAGTAGTTACGAATGAAAATAAATAAAAGCAATTGTAAAATCTCAACACACACTTTTCAGACTGCTGTGCAGTACTGTATCTGGTGCGCAATTTTTAAATGTGCTTTTCTTGTACAGTTTTCTGGTTTTGTGCAAAATTGAGGGACCAAAAGAAATATATATATATATGCCTCTGCTCCTCTGCTCAGCAGCACACTGGTAATAGTTATGAGCAGGGTCAGAAAAGATATGAAAGCATTGAGGAAGTAGTGGGTGATGAAGTAGTAGTGGAGTTTTGAACCCGGATCTCCCAGGTCTTAGTCTGACACTCCAACCACTACACCACATTGGTTCACACTAGTTGAATCTGGCCCAGAGTCTGTGTGATAATGACACTGTGAGGAGACAAATACATTTAAAAACTAAGGGGCACAAAGGGAGGGGGTTCTATTAGCACCTCCTACCTTTATTTTCTCCATTGAGGTTTCTTATATTTTGTGTGCAGGTAGTGCCATGAAAATTGCCTCTGAGCAATTAGGGCAAGTCTAAAATCCCTATGACTCACACATTCTCTGTTTGTGAAACTCAAAGAGCTTTTATTCCTTTCCCTGGAGACCCTGAGAAAAGGGCTGAAACTGCACGCCAAGCCTCAACAGTTTACCCCAACCAATTTGTACTGACTGCTTTTTACCTCTGAGAGGATGGTTCTGGCTGTAGCAGACACCAGTGCCGGAAGCCTAGGGCCTCTAAATCTAGGGGGCCTTGCTAGCCCTCCCGCGCCCCAGCGGGCAGTCTCCCCTCTCCCAAACTTGCAAACCCAAGACTTCATGCGAGGGCAGGGCAACTTGGGCCTCTAAGTCTAGGGGCCTCACCAGCCTGCCCTCTCCCCGGTGCCGCAGTCTCTCCTCTCCCAAAGCAGACACCAGGGGGCCTCACCAGCCTGCAGTCTCCCCTCTCCCAAAATTGTAAACCCAAGACTTCATACAAGGGCAGGGCAACTCAGCCCCAGCAACTATTAGACTCAGGGCTAGCCAGTGGGGCCCAATTTAAAGCAGTGGGGCGCAACTTAAATTTTTTTTAGGGCCCCAGTTCACAGCCAAAGTCTGCAAAATCTTATAGATATAAATAAAATCCATCTAGATTGCCCTGGTGCAGGGGCCCCCTTAGGAGGGGTCTGCAGGGCCCAATTTGGCCCAGTTGCTCCAATTGCCTTAAGGTCAGCCCTGATGAGACTGTGCAGGGGTTGAACTGACAAGCCCTGCACCTTCTAGGTCCCTGGCGTCACCATTCAGAGTGCAGACTCAAGGACCTGTTATGGAAATAAAGGGGGGCATTTATTGGAAATCAGTTTTGTCACCTCTTCCCCCCCAAACCCTGAGACAATGAGCCCAGCCACCTTTTATTCACAGTCACATAAGCACTACACTACAGCATGGCCATAAACTTGTACGTTCAACTGCTGAAATATACACCTAATATGTAGCAATGTTACTGCTTTATGAATGAACAGTGTTTTATTAATGGACTTTGTATTTTGTGAATTACCTAAGAGCTACCAATAGGGAGCTCTAGAATCTGAAAGCTAACCAATTGGGTACCATCAAACCGCGACCCCCTATTGCTGAAAGCATGTAACCAGCAGGGAATGCTTCAGCTCAGCCTTTGCACTGTTGACTGAACACCCCCTGCTGTGCAGATAATGGAGAAAGCTCATAAATTGTATCCCTTCTGGCATCCTGGCCAACTCTATTATGCTGGTGTAAACCCTGGAGCACCAGAAGCACAGAATAGCAGCAAATAAAATCCGCTCATACGTCAGCAACTGATAAGACTTGTCAACCAGTTCTTCCAAAGTCTTCCTAAATTCTAAAGCTCCAAAATACAGGCCAAAAGAGAGCTAGTCTTGGAAGAGCGAGGCATACAATGGGCACCACCAGTGAAAAGGCCCTGCTCCGTGTAACTCCTGCCCTGTCATTTGATAGAGTGCCTGCTTGCCCTTTTTCTTGACATGGAATGCTCTCTGTTGGAGTCTCCAGGTCCAGTACAAAGAGCATAAGTAGGGAGAGCAGGGACCTTGAAGTTCCCAACAACAAACTAAAAATGCTTTTGCATCAAAACTATCCAGCAATATCAAGTTATATGAAAACTGGTGCTATTAACAGTAATCCTTCTAGTTGGTTAATTGGTTTGGCAACTTCCATGCACATGACGTATGATGCTAATTATTTCCCCCAAAGAGTTAATGATAACTAATCAGAGGCAGCTACAGGAGAGCTATGAGATTCAGGTGAGAGTCAGATGCCTTGTCAATCCCAGCAGGTATATAAGAGGATGACCCAGCCTGCCTAGGCCTGCCCAGGCCCTGGAGTTCGGAACGTGAAAGTACTGAAAAGAATGAAAAGAGGCAGATGAGATGGGTTAATCTGATGCACCACCACCACCACCACCACCACCACCACCACCCCACCCCATAGCAGGTCAATACTAGAAGTTATCCCCATCTGGGATATCTTTATCCTTACGTCATTCATTCATTCATTCATTCATTATTATTTTTTAACAACTAAAGTTTATTGAAATATCTCCAGGGGGGGAAAAAAGAAACGAAGAAAGAAAGAATCCCCCCCCCCCCGCATGCACACACATAGCTTGAAGCATCCACAGTATCATAGATGCTTTTTACAATGCTGATGACATGTAGAGGATTGTGATGCTGCATTTCGGCTAGGTCAGGGGCTGAGGAAGCAGTAGCCATTGAGAAGCTGTTGGACTCCTATCCTGCTGGAACCCAACTTATCAGCCCCTGCAGGTAGTACAGCTGGTGGTTGGGGGTGTGTGAACTGTAGTCCAGCCTCATTGGGAGGGCCACAGGTTAACAAAGGATACCAAGATTATTAAAGCAAAAGTTCTCATCGCTTCCACAGTTCCCCTTTTTCTATTCAGTATGGGATTTGTAATGAAATCTCACACTGGAAAAAAGAACCTTGGGGAGGCTAGATCCCTGAAAGGAAAGGACCATCACTGCCTCACCACTTTCCCTCTCCAATCACCCCTCCACTTCCAGCAGTCTCTGACGCGTCTTCAGCACAATCTTCTCCATCACCTCTGGCTTGAGAAGGTCCTTGATCTCAGGAGAAAGGGAGGCCTCGTAGCAGTAGAGGATGCTGGTGTCATAGAGCATCAGTTTCTGCTCTGCCAGAGCCACAACACAGTTCTGGAGTCGGGAAATCACTTCACGGTCAGGCAAGGGCACTGGCTCTAGGTTCGTGATGAATGCCCCAGTCTCCTCATTCTTCTGTTTGAGTATTGGGTAGATCCAGATGAACCCATTGTTGCCTAGGATAACGGAAGCCCCACAATAAAAATAATAGAAATGGGTCTTCTGCTGCTTCACGAGGGAAGGGGACACCTGGATGAGCACACCTTAGCCAAGCTTTCTGTATTTCAGACTCCGTGTGTGCAGCGATACAGCCCCATCAGAGATCACCGCTTGGACTTCTGCACCGATAAGGTCCCCTTCCTGCAGGTAATCTCGCATTGCCAGTTCATCCTCTGCTGATCTCCGCCTCAGCTCCCCTCCTGGAAGATTCATGGATGAAAGGAGCAAGACAGAATCCAGCCTGGAATTGGTCTCGACTTTCCACTGTTTCTGCTGAACCTCTGTGATTCGTCCAACCACAATATCACTGACTTTGCCATTGTATCTTGTTTTCAAAGTTTTCACACAGACCAGCTTGTTCACCCTGTCCACAACACCAGCCACAGAGGCAATGAGCTTCTCTTCTCCCAGGTATGTTCCATGGCCTCTCATGTATCCTGGGTCAGTGGTGATGGTGTCCCCTGGAGCCCCCAGGTCCTTGTCCCACTTGCCCGTCCTGCTGGAGAAGCTCTGAGCCAGGCGAGGGCAGGGAACTGGGTGCCGCACTTCCACAGATGTCATCGGGGCCAGTGCTGCTGCTGCTTCCGCCATCTTGACTGCTGGCATGCAGCCGCATGATTCCCTGAAGCACTGCCTCCGGTTCTGCCTTTTTAACTCCTGGCATGCACGCCTCATTCATTCATTTTACTTATTTCAGAACTTATAAACATTCAGGGAATACCTAAGTAGTGTACAGAAATAAAAAATGTATTATATATATTGGAAAGTGGTTCTTCCGTCTGTCCATCTGTTCTCTATAGATTTGGCCACCGTTGCCAAACTCGGCACAAGGCTTCTTGAGGTGGGGGAGGCAGTTTTCATTGATGTTGGGATCCCAGGTACCATTTTGGAACAAGATAGAATGAACTATCGCTTTGGTGTGACTGCTCATTTTTTGGCATAGGTTTGGCTGCCTCTTGAGATATCATTACCAAACGTGGCACAAGGGTTTCCAAGGTGGGGGGTGGGGAACTTCATCAACATTTGGATGCCAGACACCATTTTGAATCAAGATGGTAGAAACTCCCAAGATGGTCCAAACTCACAAATTACACTGTTTAAAAATCAGACTATTTTTTTCATTTCTACAAATTCCTGGGAAGCACAGGGCACTCCCCGCTAGTAGAACCTAGAGAAACTTCTGTTCTATAGTCCTATTTATACAGAAACATCTGTTCTATGTTCCTACATGTTGACTGACTGATGTATGTTTTGTAGCAGGAGCATAATTTCCATCCTTAGGTTAATTTCTCTCTGAGTTAATTACTGGGTCTAGCTTTCTAATTGGAAAATAACCAGTTTTAAGATACAATCTGGTCATTCTTGTTCCAGTTTCCTGGTCTGACTGTGCATGAGTGCTGCTGTCAAAGACAACAAATGTATCTGAATATGAAATACATTTCAGTAGAGACAAGGGAATATGGAAAAGAGCATGGCATGAGCAAACCAAGTCGGAGACCAGCATGAAGAAAAAGGAGAGAGCCCTCCTTATGAACTGTTGTTCATTTATTTTCCTAAGGGACTGGGTACACCGGATATTGAATAAGACTGCAGCAAGCAGCTAGGTAGTTGCTGGGACAGCAGATATTAATAACTGATAATGATCTATGCTTTGTATGTGGTCCAGTTCGGTAGGTCCATGTTACACAATAGTGTGAACTTGCATTGGGTTCTGTTACGTAACTGGCAGTGTAGAGAAATTGGTACGAATAAGTTGAGATTTCTAAAAAGAACTAACTGGCAGAGACAAACTTGCCAACAACTGAAAATTCAAAGAATAGGTTTTTCTTCTTTCCCTGATTTCGACCCCTTGGTACACTATCCCTCCATTAACTACATATTAACATCAATATAACATTTCCCACTTCTAAACCACGCTGGCAGCAAAATCAGCAAAACCAGACCAGGCATTTTGTACTTTTTCTGGCCACTTTCTTAAATTGTGAATGTTCAAAGTCTAACCACTAAAGTAATTTTAGAATTCTATATACATTTTGTTCTGTTTGGCTCTAAATTCCAGTCTGAACTGAGCTACAGTCGATCTCTTTCGCTGCAATCCTAAACACAATTACGTTAGAGTCAGTCCCATTGAACTCAGTGTGGTTTATTCTTGAGTAGGCATGTTTAGAATTACATAGTTAATAGTGCTTGATCAACTCTGTGCAACTCTGGAAAAATATAGCAGTTCCTGGAAGTTGGCTATATGTTGCAAAGCTGTTAGAACATATCTCATTCATCACATTGCTTTGAAGGCATCAGATCCAGGTAATCATGGACATGGGTTTTCCCCCTGAGCCTACTAGGGATCATGGTCTGCTTGACTTAGATGGTCTGGCCCAGACCTAGCCCAAGCGCTAGGGTTTCATGCAGGAAAGGAGAAAGGGAAGTTAAAGGTAGCTCAGGTCCTGGGAGAGGCAGGGATTGGGGCCACTCACTGCTCCCTCACATGCATGGGCAAGTGAGTGGTACCAGCCCAAGACCTGTTCTGCCAGCTCAGGTTTGAGTCATCACATAGCCTAGCAACCTTTCTTTAACTAGGTCTGTTGTTATACTCAACTTTACAGCCACAGCTGACAAATTCTGGAAAGCAGGAGTTGCAACAGAAGGACAGCGTGAAAAAGGTGCCACCAAACTTGAACTAGCTCCCATACTGTACTGCAGATTCTCTATCTCACAACTAGGAACTGTTCTGTCCAGGGCACTGACATCTCACCTTTCGTCCAGAAGCAACACAGGAAAGAAAGGCAAATAGAATCTAAATAGCTTCTGTTGACAGATAGGTATAGAGGAATGTATGGCAGCCACATACACATCACTGAAAAAAGCAAATGAATCACCTAAAAGAAGGACTCAGATATATATAGTAGCATATGGAAATGTATATAAAATTTCCATATGCTACTTTACAGGTAGAGATGGAGATTTTATAAATAATTGCTATAATTTGAATCAAAATGCAATACATTTTGCTATAGCAGACAAGAATTTGACCAAGTCACCTGGGTGCCTGCTTAGTCTGCTGATATTAGGTGCTAATGTCCATGGGCAATTTCAGTGTCCCTGCTCTCCCTTTTTATGGTTCTTCATCTTTCAAATAGAGGACTGCCTAATAAAAACACCTTACCATTCTAGATCGGCGTTCTGTGGTATGAACGAACCTATTAAAGTCTGGTCTGGCAGTCAGAGACAGAAACAATGATGGAAGCAAAGGGCTGGCTCACATCCTCCTAGTCAGAACTTATGCACACATGGCAGTGGGGATCACTCAACATCCTAAGTACAACAGAGCACAATAAACCAATCTAGTTTGATAGGAAGGCTAAATGCATCTGATCTGAATTCAGCTAGTAGCTTCTGGACTGCTGTTTGGTTGCTATAGGCTGAGCAAGGTGACCAGGTGAAAGATGAAAAAGATGATCCTACATCCACAATAGTTCATGTTAATCAACTTTAATTAAATGTAAGTTTGCATGGTAAGCTACACCTACTGAAATGCCCTCTTCTCTTCTTCATAAAAGTGCAGAAGCCCTGGATAGTCTAAGGCAGGGGTCAGCAACCTAAGGCCCATGGGCCGGAAGTGGCCCATGGAGGTTGTTTGACCGGCCCACGAGCCACCTCTGAACTGAGCCGCCTGCTCTTGCACTGCTCTAAACCAGCGCAGTGCGGCGACTCACTTCCGTGGCGCCGAAAATCGGTCTGCGCATGCGCAGACACCGAAAATCACCTCTGTATACATGCAGACGCCGAAAATCATGGGCGTGTGCGCTCACGTGTGTACATGATCCGGCCCACAGAGGGATCTCCGTGGAACCGATCCGGCCCAGGCAAGATAAACCTTGCTGACCCCTGGTCTAAGGCTAAGGCTGAGGCCATTATATGAAAGCACATGATGGTTATGGAAACAAAATGGAGCAAGAAACAAAAGTATGTTGCCTATGTTACTTGTGTGTCTTTTCTAAACACATAATAAGAGCTCTACCAGCTCAGACCAAAGGCTCACCTAGTCCAGCATCTGTTTTCACAGGAGCCAACCAGATACCTTTGGGAGGCCTGTGGGCCAGACCTGAGTGCAACAGCCGTCTCCACACTTGTGATTCCCAGCAACTGGGTTCTAATATTCAGGGCAGGCTCACTTATGCGGCCAGGTGAGGCAGGACCTCAGGTGGCAGGATCCACAGAGGGGGGTGGCAGCACACTCCTTGGAGGCTGCACCTGCCGCCTCCTCAGCAGCCCTCTGCCAGGCCGCTTCCAAAGTGGCGTGTTGGCAATAGGAGGCACTGCTGGTCTCCTCCCACCCCTAAGGGGGAAATGGTTGGGGCTGCCTTCTGGGGTCTCTTAGGCTCTGCACTCACCCTGCATGGTTCAGAGTGGTCCCCCTCCCCACCTCCCGTGGCCTTTGAGTCCCAGTTCAACCATTGGGTAAGGCTGATTTGATTTTCCCTCTGGTTGCTGATGTAGCTCTTCACTCTTTCTTTATTCCCTGGCCGGGTGGGGCACACCATTTTGTGGTTTGCCTCAGGTGGAAAAATGTATTGGACCAGTCCTACTAATATTATCTTTTCCCTATTCACTTTCTTTTTTTTCTCCTATCCACTTTCTCCGTGCCACAAATAAAGTTATACACCTCTATCAAGTCTCCTTTTTCTCACATTTTTTCTAAACTGAAAAGCCCCAAATGCTATAATTGATTTCATAGGGGAGTTACTCCAATTCCTTTACCATTGGGGTGGCCCTTTTCTGAATCCTTTTCAGATCTGTCATGTGTGCTTTAGTTGAGATTCCTGCATTGCAGGCCATTGGACTAGATAACTCTTGGGGTCCCTTCCAACTCTATGAGTCTATTATCAACATTGTCATTTATGAGGTGTACAGTGGTACCTCGGGTTACATACGCTTCAGGTTACATACGCTTCAAGTTACACACTCTGGTAATCCAGAAATAGTGCATCAGGTTAAGAACGTTGCTTCAGGATAAGAACAGAAATCAGGCTCCGGCGGTGCGGCGGCAGCAGGAGGCCCCATTAGCTAAAGCGGTACTTCAGGTTAAGAACGAATTAAGTACTTAACCCGAGGTACCACTGTAAATATAATTTTCTGTGTGAAATGTCTTTCTATATCCTTTAACCTTCTTTTATTAGACCTTTTGAACTGCCATGACAGAAGTGTACAGACCTTTCCAAACAAGTTACTTGAATATGATATTGCACAGTTGTTTCTAGGTAGTCAGAAACTTCACATACAACAGCCCTATAAGGTTTAGACTACTACCATATCCCTTCCCCTTATATTGCAGGTGTAGGAACTAAAACAGGATCTTGCCTGCAACCACTTACAATGTCATCCTATGCACTGTAAATAGGAAAATCCTATGCTTACTCAGAAATAAATCCTATTGTTCCACAGAGTGTGTGTAGGATTGCAGCCTTAACATGTTTGTAGCTGAGCTGAGGACTTCCTGACTCAGAGCAGCTCACACTTACAAAATAATCCCAAGCACATTTACACAGAATAAGGTTCCTCTGAGTTAAGCAGTATGAGTATTCATATTTGGGGTTGCGGAATCTAACAAAACCTACCCTTCACTATTTCACAAATGAAAACGAGCATGCTCTGGTAATACCCCTGTTCTCCTACCAAGGGGTGCAAGAAGTTACCTTATACCAGGTCATGCTTTCTCCGCCTAGCCCAGCATTGCCTACTGTGATCAGTAGCTGGGTAAGACAGGTGGAAAAGAGTACAGGGCTCCTGCACTTTTAGTAGTTGTATGTAAGACCAAATTTCAGGAGATGTAAACCGCAGGTGGCGCTATGGTCTAAACCACAGAGCCTAGGGCTTGCCGATCAGAAGGTTGCCGGTTCGAATACCCTCAACGGAGTGAGCTCCCGTTGTTTGGTCCCAGCTCCTGTCCACCTAGCAGTTTGAAAGCACATCAAGTGCAAGTAGATAAATAGGTACCGCTCCAGTGGGAAGGTAAATGGCATTTCCTTGCGCTGCTCTGGTTCGCCAGAAGCGGCTTAGTCATGCTGGCCACATGACCCGGAAGCTGTCTGCGAAGAAACGTTGCCTCCCTTGGCCTATAGAGCGAGATGAGCGTCACAACCCCAGAGTTGTTCGTGACTGGACCTAACTGTCAGGAATATCTATATCTTTACCTTTAAACTTGCATGAAAAACCTGCACCTGTTGAAATTCCCTCTTATACACAAGTATTAAAAGTGCAGAAGTCCTGTCTTCTTTTTCATCTAGCCATTCTTCTCCAGCCAGAGGTTTTCCTCATCACTTATTATGGAGATTCCAGGACTGAACCAGAGATTTCCTTCAATCCAAAGCATATGAGCATCACTGAACTAAAGTGCCTTCCCTAAAGGGAGCATTCCACATCCTTTAATTTAATTCTCTTTTATACCTCTAGAGCTGTCACCAGAGATGCCTACAGGCTTTTCCAGACCAGTTAATTTAACTTACGATTGTGCACTTGCTTCTAGGTAATCAGATTTCACACTCAACAGTCCTGTGAGGTAGACCATAGATTGCTGCAAGTTTGGGGTCACTGGCCATAAACCCTCTTTCCACTGTACATTTCTGAAGGCTCTTCTCCACCACCTCTACACTGTTCTAATTTATTCCACAATAGTTAACCTGTCTTGCACTGGCTTCCAAAACAGGGTGTGTTAGTAAACTAACTGTAATAGTTTCCTTAAAAAAAAAAATAAGGATGTTTATTAGAATGCTTAATCTCTCAATGAATCTTGTTATTGTTACAGAATAGCTGTGACTCACACACATTCAGCAGCATTTATTGGGGGCTGGAAACAGCGGCGGACCTTTGGGTCTCAAATTCCAGTGGCGCCCTGTGCAAAACTAAAATTCAGCACCCCACCACCACCTCTCGCCTTCCTTTCTACATCATAGTTGTGGCACCCCCTGCCATGCCCCCAAGTCTCCACACCCAGTCACATGGAGGATGGAGCAAGCCTGTTATTGAAGAAGGGTTAAAGGCTTCTCTCTCTTTTGAGCTGGAAAGGTTGTATGCTTTTGCTGATGGTACTCCTAATATATCTGATATGTCAATGTGGGAAATTTTTAAAAATCCTCTCCCTCACATTTTTCTGGGTCACCCTTTTGCTGCAACAGTTACTAAGTCCCCGCTCCCAAGACGCATAGTTCTCCTTGTGACTGTCTAGGGCAGGGGTCGGCAAGGTTTAACTTGCCTGGGCCGGTTCACTCCAGTGGAGATCCCTCTGTGGGCCGGATTGTGCGCACGTGTGAGTGCACGCGTCTGCGATTTCCGGCATCTGTGTATGTGCAGACACAATTTCTGGTGCCACAGAAGTGAGTCCCTGCACCACGCTGAGCCGGTTTAGCGCAGGGGGCTCACCGAGCAGGCGGCCCGGTTCGGGGGCAGCTCGTGGGCCGGTTAAATGACCACCATGGGCCGCTTGTGGCTCATGGGCCTTAGGTTGCCTACCCCTGGTCTAGGTCTTCCCTGTAGTTATTCTCTCTAGGGGGACTTTGCAGGAGGCATGTGGTGCAAGGTGCTCCTTTCCTCCTGGGATTTGAGCCACGCCTGCTGCAGTGAGTTTCCTTTCGGATGCTGTTATTACTCAGGTATGTTACTCATGCAGCTGTGTGGGAGCAGCCTTACTCCGGTTGCCAGCTCCCACACTGTCTCCTTCACTAATGGGCAGGTGTCACTGGAGGTTGTTTACAGCTCTGTGGCAGGTTGACAGCTCTTTTCTTTGCCCTTGTCTCTTGCCCATGAGTATGCAGATCCAAGCATGCCCTTTGATGTTCTGCCCCACTGGCACTTATATACAGCTGCCATAGTCCAGAGAGAAGGAAGTGCCCATAGTTCATGATGCAAGTAGGATAAGGTTAACTGAGTTTATCAGAACTGAAATAAAACAACAAGGAACAGCTCATGTTGACGGTGTGTCCGCCAGAAGCTTAGCATTTAATGCAACAGCTGGAAACCAAAACAAAAAGAAAGATGCACAGAAATCCAGGAGGGATGAAAATAAAACAAAATGTGCAACTATTACAGGAGTGAATCCTGCAAAGTCCTCAGGCCAGGGCTTATTTGACTGCTGTGCACCAGGAAGTTCAGGTTCTAATTCTGCAGAATGAAGGGTCATTTAAGTGCTATCACTAGAACAAACTAAGTGGCTCACACAGCAATGGTAACTGCTAAACAAACAAATAGAACCTGTTTGTAAGCACCACATAGACAGCCTACAGAATTCCCCAGAAAAAGGTGTGTGTGCGTGCGCGCGCACACACAAACACACACACCAGTTCTCAGGTAAAGTATTCATTGACCTCAGCACCCATCCGTTCAATTAGATGGTAATGAAGGAACATTCCTCAGCAGCATCTTTATTGCTGAACACTTTACTTCCTTTCCTTGGTGTCCTTTCATCCAAGAGACTGCTGATGCAAGACAGGGAGCATATTCTAGGAAACAGCTTGAGTAGCCAAATGGCTCAAGCCAAAGGAACATATTAAATGAGGCAGAGAGAAAGAAAGATAACAATAAATCATGGTAGATGCTGTGCCAAGAACAGAGTAGTATCATGGGGCACAGGTGACACAAACCAGACATACCATGATGCCCTTTAGTGTTTCTGCTACTAAAATTATATTTATCGACAATATTCATAGGTTGCTTAGTGAGTCATGAATCCCTCTGTTTCCAAAATCTAGGAGTGTGGATCTCTTATGTAGTAGAAATTGCACCATCCATGTACAAGGGGGAGGTATCAAGAGACTTGCTGAAACCCCAAGGTTTGCAGAAGTATAAAATTATTAGGGGAAAAGGCTGAACATTCTCAGTGGCCATGAAATACTGACTTGGGGTGGAGGGATAAGACTGAATGGGAGGGGGAATGGAAGAGATACTATTCAACAGAGTATCATGAAGGAGGACATGACTGTCTGGCTGGAAAACTCCATGCTGCTGGAGCATTGTGTTAGAAGCCACACTTGCCCTGCTTGACACGTTTGTTTCTTGACCCAATCTTATCTCCAGTTCGTTCAGGTGAGACTGGAGAGTTTATGCCAGAGATAGGATACATACCTTTACACATCCTAGGGCAAAAAAAGGGTGAAAGCCACTGTGTACCCTACCTGGTTCTTCTGTCTCCCTGTTCACCTACCCCAATGAAAAAATGGGGTAGAAGATGCAGTTATTGATTTCTCACTTTTAGTTAAAGATACATGTACAGTTTTCTAGTTTAAACCCCTGCAGGTTTACCTAAGTATAGTCAAGGCTCTTCAGCAGCAGGTGGTAATGAAGATAGGAGCAGGGGATGTTAATCCTTCAACTCTGTATAGATATGTCTGTGAACAAGATGCTTGCTTGTGTAGCCCAACCCATCCCTGGAATGGAAAGGGGGGAAAGAGTCCCACACAAAAGTTACAAGTCATCACCGTCATATTTAAGAGGTGTAATCAGACAATAGGTGAAAGTCCATTTCTTTTGCAACTGGCACGATCCATTCTCTTTATTTTAGGGAGGGCCCTGGTTGTCCAGAACATAGGCCTAGTCATAGCACAATAATTTTCTAATTACAGCATTGACCAACATGATTGTCTCTTGTGAGACTTAGCTGCCTGAAGAGGGGCGTGTGAAAGAGGCATGTGGGCAATTACAGTAGCTTCTCATTGTATTGGCTAAAGTGAAGCAGTGAGATACTGAACTTTTATCAGCTTCAAAGTGAAGAACAGCATTTGTAAACTGCTATTTGTGTTTATGAGCCAAACACATAATATTTCCCAGAAGGGTAGCCATACTAATTCCTGTTGCAGCAAAACCTCAAAGAGTCTTAGGCACCTGAAAGACTTGATGAATTTATTGTGGCATAAATGCTAGTGGACTAGAGCCCACTTCATCAGATACACATGAAGTCTGTGATGTTTTCACATAATCTTACAGTTCCAATTTCAGCTGCATAGCATACTGCACTTTGCTCTCATTTCTGCTTTGTATTTGGGTCGTTACAGATGGCAGAAAATGGATTCTATTTTCTTAGCTCCAGTAAAGTGGCACAATAACCTATACACACAGGGTTTTTTTGAAGGGGGTACTGAATAGCCTTGCAGCACTAAAGATAGCTACGTGGTAGAATAAGTAAATAGTCTGTTCCTTCGGGCTTTTAAAACATTCACCCTCAGTAGATATACACTGACTCCAGCACTGAAAAGAGGGGAGCGCATCCCCTAGTTATGCAAAAGCAGAGGAACATGTTGCAAAATTACAGGGTACAGTGGGGTGAAGATAGTCTTGTCATTTGCTTTTCCATTTCCAAACTATTGAAGAGTTACATTAGTACTTCTTCTGGAATGTTCTGGAAAATTATTTTCAATTCTACACAACCTTTTTTAAAAGTTCTGAAAATGGAGTGAATCGGAGCCATGGAAGAGTATGTCACTGGTCAGTCATGATGTCACTGGCATGCACCGAAAGGCTCCTATGACAGATACAACCACATTTCACATGATGTTCTAGTCTGTAATGGAGAAAAATGGTTGTGGGAAATTTGCCCAGAAACAGCATGTGCTGGCAGCTTATTGTTGGTAAAAATGCAGTTTGTCCACAAATAAATTTGCTATTTTTTGGACCCCTGTAAAAAGTGACAACGGATTTATTGTTAAATAAAACAGATATTTGGGAAAGCCTTTTGTCTCCTTATGTGGCTAAACAATGTAATAGGTCTGAATTAAACTCTGGAGAGTTGATGCCAATCAGTGTAGCCAATACTGAGCTAGTTGGACCAGCAGTTCAATTTTCTATAAGGCAACTTTCCTGTATTCAGCAGACAGTCTGATTTCCAAATAGAGAGCAGAAGTTAAAAAAAGATGGCCTAAAGATTTTGCTATGTAGAAAGCAGGTTCCTTGCTCATTTGTCTTGTAAGCCCTTCTTATTTTGGCATTAGACTACCAAATAACATTAGATTATTTATTCTTCCTTTTTAAAATCTACTCATCTAGTTTTACTTTCTATTTATCAGGTTATTTTTTCATGCAAAATGTTTCACCAAGAGCTTATCTACTACACCTAAGAAGAGATCCTTAAATGAATTGCAACAGATGACAGCGGCAATTTAATTTAGAATTTATACAGTGAACAAAAGAACCTATTCCTACCTGTGAAAAGGGAAGAGCAACCTACTTCATAAAGTTACTTTGAGGGCAGTGCAAAATAAATATGCTAAAATTCTTTGCACGTTTCCAAAGAGTTATATAAATTACCCTTGATAGTAACTGAAATCTACTATTCATTGTTAAATATAGCACAATGAAATATCTGAAAGAAGCTCCTGCTAGACAAAAATGTGGACCTGCAACCCTTTGTCTTTTCTTCCTGGTTTCTTTGCTGCAGGGATTGTGAAACCCTGTCATGTTCTTATTTTTTTTATAAGGCTCATTTCCACTTGTAATTAGGGCTGTCTCAGCCACAGGCTCAGGCCTCTAATTTGGTGTTTATGTTGATGATGCATCACTCACCTTGGGAGGGCCTCTCACGTGGATGCTTGCTGGGTTTTCCCCATCCAAGGAAGGTTGCCACTTTTTCTTTTCGTTTCTTCTTAGTTCTGCTCCTACAGCTTTAACAGCAGCCTGACACACTCCAATGTAGCAGGTCAAACTTTTCATGGAAGAATACAAAATATTACACAGTTCAACGAAACAAATCAAATAACCCCACCCACAACAGCAGAACATTTTCTCTCTGTCTGTCTGTCTGTCTCTCTGTACACACATACATACTAGCGGCTGTGGCCTCTCTTTGCTTTGTTCCCCAACACTGCATACCCCCCATCAACTCCACTTTACAAAGCCACCTGCCCCCAATCTTTACTCCTTGCCAAAGCCCCTTCCCTCCCAATAGAATTTGCCAAAGAAACACCTCCCACTTGCCAAACCTCTGCAACCCTCTAGGGGCCACCTGCCCAACTGCCTCTGTCTCGCCCTCCAACTCTGATGCGATGACCGAGCAGCTCTGAGAGCCCAGTTTGTGGTCACACCGTATTTCGCAAAAAGCACCTGTCTGTGGCCAAGTGAACTGCAGTGTGATGCCATTACATACCAGAGAGGCACTGACAATAACATTTCAACAGAGAAAGGTCAAGGAGAACAGGTGCATCTCCAGCCACCAGCTAAAGCTGCAAAGAGATGGTGCCTGATGCACCTGTATAAGAAAGGAATTCTAAGTTTGGGGGCCATTACAGAAGAGGTTTTGCACCTCCAAAAAAGATGGCACCATACAATAAAATAGATACAAAACAACACTAAAATCAATACAATAAAAGAGCTGTACATAAAACACGGAATAAAGAAAATACAGTCTGGCATCACATACATTAATCACACCAAGACCTAAACAGCCCCATAGGGCAAACTGCTACATAACCATCATAAAGGAGAAACTAAGTACATAGGCATTCTACTAAGTACATAGAAACTAAGTACTTAGGCATTCTACTATAGAAATATCTAAAGACTGGCATATAGGGTGGGTCCCTCATTAAGCAATGTGAGAGGTGATGGATCAGTGCCCCCCAGCCCCTCTGCTGTTGCTTTGCCCATGGGGCTGTGAGCTGCAACTGCTGATGGCTTGCTGCCTATTGCTGCCCCCACCCCCAATCCATTATGGTGTGGCCTCTAGGAGAGCCACCACTTGGCTGCTGCAGCAAAGGGCAGCAGGGCTCTTAAAGTGCTCTATGGAATGTTGCCTATGCAACATTTGGCCAATAGGCTGCCATTTTGTTTGAAAGCCAAAGAATGCAATTGTGTGAAAGGGTGTCCTAGAGAATAGCTGTTTAAAATTTCACTATTTGCGGTTGCCCAATCTCCCCATTGCTTTTTATATCGGTCCTGGAGGTCCTGTTGAATATGATTAGAAGGGACCAATTGGTTAAAGGTATACAAGTCGGAGCTAAACAGTACAAATTGAGAGCATTTGCAGATGACTTAGTATTGACATTACAGGAGCCAGAATCTAGTACCAAAAGAGTTTTAGAACCGATTCAAGAATTTGGTCAGGTTGCAGGATTTAAACTGAATAAGTTAAAAACAAAGGTCATAGAGAAAAATTTAACAGCGATTGAGAGAGAGAGGTTTCAGAATGAGACAGGTTTAACAGTGGTTAAGAAAGTGAAATACCTGGGGATTAACATGACAGCTAAAAATGGGAACTTATTTAAAGACAATTATGAAAAATGCTGGACTGAAGTGAAAAAAGATTTAGAAATTTGGTCAAATTTGAAGCTTTCACTGCTAGGCCGTATTGCTGTGATAAAAATGAATGTATTGCCTAGAATGTTGTTCTTGTTTCAAACATTGCAAGTTTTGGACAAAATGGATTGCTTCAAGAAGTGGCAGAGAGATATTTCTAGATTTGTCTGGCAGGGCAAGAAGCCTAGAATAAAATTTAAAATACTAACGGATGCAAAGGAAAGAGGTGGATTTGCCCTGCCAGACCTTAAACTTTATTATGAATCAGCAGCTTTCTGCTGGCTGAAAGAGTGGCTACTTCTTGAAAACACAGACATTTAGGATTTAGAAGGTTTTAATAATGTATTTGGATGGCATGCATATTTGTGGTATGATAAGGTCAAAGCACATAAAGCATTTAAAAATCATATTGTCAGGAAAGCATTGTTTAATGTTTGGATAAGATACAAGGACCTACTTGAAAATAAAACCCCAAGGTGGTTGTCACCGATGGAAGTGAAAGCTTTGAAAAAGCTCAATATGGAGGCCAAATGGCCAAAATATTGGGAAATTTTGGAACAAGAGGGAGATAAATTGAAATTGCAGAGTTTTGAAAAACTAAAAAATAAAGTGCGAGATTGGCTTCATTATTATCAGATAATGGAGGCATATAATTTGGATAAGAAAATTGGCTTCCAGGTGGAAAAATCAAAATTGGAAACAGAACTGTTAGATTCCAAAACTAAGACTTTGTCAAAGATGTATAACTTGCTGTTGAAATGGAATACTCAGGATGAAACGGTGAAATCTGCTATGATTAAATGGGCACAAGATGTTGGACATAACATAATGATGGCTGACTGGGAACAGTTATGGACCACAGGTATGAAGTTTATGGCATGTAATGCCTTAAGAGAGAATATTATGAAAATGATATACAGGTGGTACATGACACCAGTCAAGCTTGCAAAAATCTATCATTTGCCCGATAATAAATGTTGGAAATGTAAAGAAACTGAAGGTACATTCTTTCACCTTTGGTGGACGTGCCCAAGGATTAAGGCTTTCTGGGAGATGATCTATAATGAAATGAAAAAGGTATTTAAATATATCTTCCTGAAGAAACCAGAGGCCTTTCTCCTGGGCATAGTCGGCCAATTGGTGCCAAAGAAGGATAGAACTTTCTTTATGTATGCTACAACAGCAGCAAGAATTCTTATTGCAAAGTACTGGAAGACACAAGATTTACCCACTCTGGAAGAATGGCAGATGAAGGTGATGGACTATATGGAACTGGCGGAAATGACTGGCAGAATCCGAGACCAGGGAGAAGAGTTGGTGGAAGAAGATTGGAAGAAATTTAAAGGCTATCTACAGAAATACTGCAAAATTAATGAATGTTAGAATGATGTTGGATTGAAGTTAAATGGTTTCTAGCAGCAATGTTATAAAGGAATATGTAAAAGTGGATTGTTAACAGGTGATAATCTAAAGTTACAATATATTAAGATAAAAGATTAAGATAGAATCAAAGAGGGAAAGGATTTGCTGAATTAACTAATTTGAACTGGAATACAAAAAGGGAGGTGTGAGGAGGTCGGGAAAACAAGCAAATGAAAGTTAAGATATGGAAAGACTAATCTGTTTTTTAACTGTTTTTATTTTGTATTTTCATTTTCTATTTTTTTCTTTTTTTCTTTCTTTTTTCGCTTATTTTTGTATTATGTTGAAACTTTAATAAATATCTTATAAATAAAATAAAATTTAAAAATTCACTATTTGCTACATTGAAACTTCAGTATTTGCCATTAAGAATATAAGACGTGCCCAGCTGGATCAGACCAAAGCCCCTTCTAGTCCAGCATTCTGTTTTCACAGTGGCCAGCTGGATGCCTAATGGAAGCCCATAGGCAGGATCTGAAAGTAACAGTGCTCTCCCCATTTTTGTTCCCAGCAACTGGCCTGTTTCTGACAATGTAGGTGGAATACTTCTGCAAATGTTGTTTGAAGTCTTGAATGCCTGTGCCACCACTGCTAATGCACCAGCACATATATGTAAGTAACACCTCTCAAAGGAGGAGGAGGAGGAGGCTGATATACCTGCCTCGAGAGCCAGTGTGGTGTAGTGGTTACGAGCGGTGGACTCGTAATCTGGGGAACCAGGTTCGCGTCTCCGCTTTTCCACATGCAGCTGCTGGGTGACCTTGGGCTAGTCACACTTCTCTGAAGTCTCTCAGCCCCACTCACCTCACAGAGTGTTTGTTGTGGGGGAGGAAGGGAAAGGAGAATGTTAGCCGCTTTGAGACTCCTTCGGGTAGTGATAAAGCGGGATATAAAATCCAAACTCTCCTTCTTCTTCTTCAAGTAGCACAATGTATTTTGCTGGCCCTGCTGACATAATCAGCACTTTCATTTTGGAGATATAAATCAGCCTACTTGGGATGCTAAACCACGCTAAGCTGATCAGCTTCATATCATAGTAGGCAAAATGAGTGAGATGGAACTCGATGAGTACCGATTTCCCACATGCCTATGACATGTAAAAGCCTGTCTCTCTCTTGGAAGAAGACAACGAAAAAGAAATTACATTCTGGAAGCATTGCTGCAGTATTTATCACAAGCAAATGATCAACTGAACCCAGTGGCTACTTCCACACCACCAAAAAAGAAGACAAAATGCATCATAAAAAAATGAAAAAGAAGAAAAGAGGACATAGATATTTTAAATCACTTTGGGATGCCTCATTGTTGCTGGCATGTGTCTGTCTCAGGAGATAATGGAAGAGTGGGCCTTTGCGGGGGGAAATGCCTCATGGAAAGTGACTCATTAATAATAATAATAATAATAGTAATAATATACATAAATTTTGCATATGCTAATTTGAATAATGCAATACATCTCAGCATAGACTCAGAAAGACTGTGAACAGGTGACCTATCTGGCTACTAAGTATTCTGTTCAGCTTGTCAATTTGCTTTTTAGCCCAACTCAAGATGCTTATACTACATATACACAAAAGAGTTAAAATATCTAAAATAGTGCCTTCTTCCTTAACAACCTGCCCAGTTACTAAGATCAGTGCCGTCACACATGTCACACAGGGAAACTATGATATAACTTGCAAACATTTTATAAACACCTATCTGGGAGTAAGCCTCATTGAAATCAATGGGACTTAATTATGAGCATATTGTTTAGGGTTGCACTTTATGAGATTCCCCAGGGCCTCCAGCACTGTTCCCAACAGCATCCATACAAAGCATTCCTACTGGGCTGAGTCACTACTCAGTTGCTGTTTAGAATTTCCCCATTAACACCTCCTCACATGTTTTGACTTAACATTCAGGTTGATCACAAAGTACTGCCATCATT